GACAACCACAGAGAGGGAGCTCATTGTCCAATCCCCCACACTATTTTTGTAGTAAGAAAGAACAAGATCATGGCAAGCAACAATACTGGCCGGAAGGCTGGAGTAGCAAATTTCTCTAGAGACAAGCTACACAGTCTCATGAGTATGATACTCAAGTGGCTTCCCAATAGCCCAGAGAGGAACAAAGAGACAAAGAGAACCGTGAGATGTGGAAGGAATCTATTGGCACTGGAAAGGAAGTAGCAAAGGAATTTTTTGGAGCTGCAGCTACCATATTCAGTCAGAGGCAACAACACAACAATTCTTACTACCATAGTCCTCCTCCTGCTGGTGCTGGTCCTCGACGGTCCCCAGGAATCCCATGGTGAACTGTATCAGATGGAAGATGTTTAGATTACTAAACTAAACTAAACTAAAATGAAGAAGCTGCTTGCAATGCAGTACGTACAGTTCTAATTTAGTGAGATAACAGCAGCTTGATAACAACAGCAGTTAGATTTTAGCAGGAATAGCAAACAAGCAGTAGAATTAGTAGGTAACAAGCAGTAGGATTTGGTAGCTTGGTTTTCATGCATAGGTTTTTATGTACCCCAATCCAGGATTAGCAGGTGTTGAGGGGGGGGATTTGCAGTTCCCAATGGACCTGCATTCTCGTTCACATGAAGTTAGTTGCCTTTTCATCAGCATGCACATGTTGTTAATCATAGACTGGTCTTCCTGTCAGCATAACTTTTTACTAGACATATTCATTACTTTCTTGCTAGGAGGAAAGTGTGGTCTTTTAGTGCAGCTAATTGTTTGTTGTTGACTATAGCTAGTAGCATGAGGAATGAACATATTTTCTGATGAGTATCAAAAATATGCAGAAAATATGTGCATTCCTTCCACTAGAGTATGGATTGAAAATTTCACTTTTTTCCTTGTTGTACCAAGAAGTGGCATGTGTTTTAAGTCTTTTTAGTTTTTAGGTTGGAGAATAATTAAGATTCCAAAAAAAAAGGGTGCCATCGAGCCAGTGTCCCTCTCAGTCTGTCTGTTGAATTTTTGATTCCTGTTATTATATAAGTAATAAAAGTGCAAGATTTACCAGTTTGGCACGTCTATAATATCGGGAATCGCCCATTAGTGAGTAAACTACTTCTACTAGAAGTAGTATGGCAGTTCTTGAGCAAACCACCGTATGTACTATACAGTATGTAAAAAGGAGGTGATTCATTTTTTGTTTTTCATTTTTACAGCAGCAAGAAACTTCACACCAGCATTTTTACTATCTTTATTCTTTTGGAAAAATACTCTACCTACAGGTACAGACAGGGGTACCCACGGGTACAGGTGCATACTTGTTGTACGTACGTACCTGTACATTGATACAGTGTGTACGTGCATAGGTGTTCGGGGTGCAATCTTATTTGGTTTTGTGCACAAATTTAGAGTTAGGAATACTATAGGTATCAAGCAATATGATTGGCTGATTAGACAGATCAAAATTATCAAAAATGGTACTACTACACGACGAGTTTTACCCCCTTCAAATCCAATTTTCTCATGTATCATTGTCAATTATTTTGATCCTCTGTCTAATCAGCCAATCATATTGCTTGATTCATAGAATGTCGTTGGAATTATCCCTAACTCCAAATTAGTGCAGAAAACTAAATAAGATCGCATTTTAGTGCAAAATGAACACCTGTGCATGCTTCTTACTACTCATTCAGGCCTTKGATGGTACAAACAATGAATACTAACGTACTGGTACCAGTACGTACCAGTACTACCATTATTTTGAATGTACAAAGACACAAGACACCACAACAAGAACTTACTAAGTGCAAAATCTAGTCGATCTAGTCAAGTTATAAGGCAAAATTGGCTACTACGGTGCAATGGACTTCACTATCTTTAGTGTACAGTAGCCAGTAACCTTGAAGAATTCTTACAGCCCTGGACTAACCGAGGAAACAAAAAGAAACTTGTTTTAAGTGTGGATTTGTGTAAACCCTAGTATACCACCATTTTTTACAAATAAATTAGTACAACTGAAATGTTCAGTCATTATTTTGACAACTACCCGAGGGAGAAAATGCAAATTTACATTTAAGTACAAATTTAGTCCCTTCCGTGTTAAATGCATGCAATAAACTGTCCAATCTACAGACGAGCAAATGTAATTGTAGTATAAACTAGTAGCAACTAAACATCAGATCAAGACCTAGTTTTTGGTAGAATTTATCTTAACATCCTAATGAACATGTTGGGTTCAGTGGGTAGTTGGGTCATACAATTTTTATGCTGAAACTACTGGTATAAGTAGGAGGTCCTAGTAGTAGTATCAGTAGTAGTAGTAGTACTACTACTAATTTGCATTTAAGTACAAATTTAGTCCCTTACTTGTTAAATACGTAGTTTTTGGTAGAAAAGTTGCAATTTCTCCCAGTTGCTTTGACAACTTGTTGGCTACGGTGCACTGCACTTCACTATCTCTATCTTTAGTGCGCGTAGCCACTAACTTTGAAGAATTCTTACAGCCCTGGACTTGTTGCATTACCAAGGAAACAAAAAGATATTTTTTTTAGTGTAGATTTGTACAAACCCCGGTATATTAATTTTTGCAAATAAATTAGTACCTTTACCAAAATAAATTATTTCATTTTTAACTTAAACATTCAGTCATTATTGTGACAACAAGTCATTCTACTAGCAATAACCTAGTTTTTGCACCGTAGTAAGTTTTTTTGGCCGCCGCCATCCTTCAAAAAAAAAAAACAAGGCGGCGGCCGCAACCAATCATTCTAGCAACAACTTACAGGACGTACCGGTAGTTTTTGCACCGTAGCAAGTTTTTTGCGTTAGGGACCCAATCGAAATTTTTCACAACGATTTTTCACAACGACTGATGATAGTACGTACTTAACGTATGTATGGTATCGTACTTTTGATCCAAACTTTCCTTTTTTCTTACCGTACGGTAAACCGTACGATAACTGTACCGTACTCGTAGGAGTACGGGTACCGTACCCTGGACATGACAGGACACCCGCCAAGTTAGACAACTGTTTTCGTGACATCTACCGGTACAACACAACATCCTAATGAACCGTACTGCTTTCGATCGACAAAAGCGATTGTAAAGATCCCCTACCTTCTTAATAAAGCTTAAGGTAGATAGTTCGACAAAAGGAATAGGACACAGGTTGATTAGTTTGCAGTTCGGGTGTGGCCCGAATTCGAAAATGCGATTTGAATAGGTCTCTGCTCGCTAATTGTCTCTCTTTGACAGCACCCCAAAACAAAAAACGTGGTTTTCTGAAAGATAGAACGACGACTTGATTGAAATCGATAATCGAACGCTTTTACTAGGTGCCGATCAGGTAATTGTTACTGGATTGTCGGCAATGGTTTGGAAGATCAATAAGCACAAAAGGTCTGATAAGCAAGGGAGCATCGTCAAACAAAAACAAGTTCTGGACAGTCCAAGAAAATTGCCAGGGAAAAGCTGCCTCAAGACCAAAAAATATATTCTCGACCAACCAAATTTTCTTGACGACTCATCTAAGTTTCAAAATGGAATAAACAACAAAGTAAAAGAACAGAGCTCGAAGTCTGTTTCGAATCGTTCCCGTAGCGCAAAATCTTCAGGTGCTTTGAGTCGTTCGTCTGGTAGCATTATCTCGGAAGAAAGTAAAGGGTCAGAAAGCTCCCTTCAAACGAGTTGCGCTAATGGGATGCGCATGGCATCAATCGAACAGCATTCGGTAAGCTCTAGAAGTTGGGACCGCGAGTCGCGAAGATCAGAAGCAGGCCAATCGACTCAGACAGGTGAGATATCATTAGCTGATTCGAGGAGCCTTCTCGAAGAGAAAAAGAAAAAAGTCAATTTCTCCGTGGTCACTATTAGAGATTATGAGAGGGTTGTCGGAGATAACCCAAGCTGCACAATAGGACCGCCAGTTGGGTAAGTAAAAATTGTTGGATTTTGATTACACTATTTCGAGAAGGAAAAACTACGACGAGGTTATTTGGCCACTGAAGTTCAACCTACTTTTGTTCCCGACAAATTAATGTTTTCCTTTACTGATCACGTTGTCGATCGATTTGTGTTGAAGCATTGGCTGGCACTACTTCGAAACTCGTGTCATTGATATTGAAAGTTTTGAGGCTGGGAGGTCATATAGAAAAGTTTCGTCGCATTTGATTCTTACGAGAGAGGAAAGGGAAGCTTTATTATTAAATTGGGGGGCATCATTTCACGACATAGTTGAAGCCGTGCGTAGTAACCTGAAAATAAAAAATCAGCGGCGGCAGACCGTCACAAATCTTGGAAAGGTTGAACGTATAGAGGAGGCATTTGAGAGTGCCACAAGGAAACTAAAAAGTGCCTTGATGCTTCGACGTAGTACTGGGAATAAAGTGAAACGACTTCAGGAACAGGCAAATCTAGCACAGAGCGCTTTGACGTCTCTAAAAATTGCAGAGGATAGAGCATTGAGTGAAATAAGAGGAACTCGTCGTGATGAAATCATGGAAGAACCAGAAAGCAAAGAAGAAGATTATCCCATTCCAAACTATTGTCCATCGTCTCCTGAGGATATCAAAGCTAGACCACCACATTTAACAATTCCCGAGGAAGACGAACACGCTGGCTCGATGACAGGACGTTCGCTGGGTGGAAATAGTACAACAAAATCTGAGCTTGAAATTGAAAAGTTTTATCGAGAGTTAGAACTTGAAATGTTTGGCGAGGAAGAATTACCATCGATGGTTGGTCAGATGTTGGAAGTCCCACTAAAAGATGTTGATACCACCAATTTGATGACTGATCCAGCGGATAGATTGGAATATTGTTCAGTTAATAGTGCAATGTCGGATAAGGATTTAGATGATGCGCTTCTGGAACAGGAGCAAAATCGGTCGATGATAAGTGAATACCTCCTTGAAGATGCTGACAATGACTCTCCAAAATTAGATCATTCGACGCAGCATGACAATGGAGATCGAGATGGGAATTCCAATTATTTATCGCAGTTGACGCAGCCAATACACAGTGACCAAATCCAGCCAGGAAACTATTCCCTGTGGAACAAAAGCAGCCCTTTGACCTTTCCAGCACTTGACGGACCACCTATTGATACTCATGGGAGTGTTGTTGACAATCAAACATCACAACATCGTCAGCATGAAACAATACCATTACATGCCGGAATGACTATGTTCGAAGATTGTGCCCTCCTTGGAGGTCGAAGCAATCATGAATCACTATATTTCAAGAAGAAGCGACGTTCTTCCCGAAACAAAGATATGAATGCTGGTCCTAAAGTTCACTTCATACCCCCACCAACTCATTTGTCTCCATCAGATTGGATGAATGGTCCAGATTCTCATGACATTTCTTGCAGAGATCGTGAGACGATAACAATCTCGGAAGATAATTTTAGTGACAGAAGATACTACGAAGATCGGGATCGAGATCCTTACGGTTGCTGCAATAATAAATTTCATCCAAACTTTCATTGCAGATGACACTCAAGAAATCGTGAGCAATAATTGAATGGATTCTTCAGCACTAGTATCAGAGATCAAAGTGAGCTCTGGATTGCGAAAAACAATACCGTAGAAAATATCCATCGTTTGTTGCTCTTCAAAATTTGCTCATATTTCACGTCAAGAAAATACTCTGTGCGGAAAAGTTTTGAAATGTCCGTTGGTTTTATATATCTTGAATATTTCTTTTTTGTCTTCGCATCAATTCCATTGTGATAACGATGGATCAAATTCTGGTGACCACACTGTTGAAGACTGACTAATGACGTAAGCGTTTTTGTCAAGACAAAACATCCATAAACGAAGTAAAAACATGCAAGTAAAGACCTAATCTCATGTCAATGCGGTTCTCAATTCGAAGTAGGAAACTGTGAGCAAGTGTGAACCAATGAGAAGCAAAAACAACTTTGTACCTAACAAAAAATAGAAAACAAGATAGAATGTTTTTTCTTTCTCTACCGTCAGCTCTATTTTCTAATTTGATAGGATTAGTCATGATGATACTGCTCCCTCATAAGAGTATGGGTTTTGCCTAGTCAAGGATCAAGAAATTTGATCCATGTCAAGCAGTAATGATAAAGTGAACAGATCTCCTTGATCAGCTGACTGTGGTGCTACTACTCAAAAATGACCCTGGTCAGTTCCTCCCACCACTCCTGTATGCATTGGCCAGGAGGAATGTTCTCCCTTGGATGCAATTTCATGTCAATAAAGCAAAGGAGGAAGAGGAAGAATTTATGAGCAACTTCTTCCTAACAATGAACCAAATGAGGACTTCATTGTGTTCTTCTTCTTTGTTTTCACTAGATACTACTATTAGTTACAAGCAAAGAGCAATATTACCAGCAATCAAACTAATCATAGATGTGGCTCAGAAACGTACGACACAGTTGTTGATTTCAGGCCATCTTTTTCACGAGTTAAATATGTTAGGCGTTCCAATAGACATCATGACATTTTGTTCAACTACACTATTTTTTCTATGGAATTTTGTCATGATGGCAATTCATGCATTGGAAATATATTCAAAATGCAGCAGCAACCCTATCAACAGCAGTATTGCAATAGCAACACTAATCAGCTACAAACACCAGCTATAGCAAGGAATCAACAAATCAATAAAAATAATAATAACTACTACTACTACTACTACTACTACTACTACTACTACTACTACTACTACTACTACTACTACTACTACTACTACTACTACTACTACTACTACTACNACAACAACAACAACAACAACAACAACAACAACAACAACAACAACAACAACAACAACAACAACAACAGCTGCCAGCGTTCAACAAGGACAATGAAACAATCAGCAAGCACCCCAAGGACAACATTATAACTGCTGATAACACCCATGGCCTTTGTGGAGTCTTGATCAGAAGCCTTTGAGGCAGCGTTTGAGTTAGAATCTGATGTGGAATCTTTGTTTGAGGATGATGAAAGCTCAAGTGATGAGGAGGTTCTTGATGATATGGAGCCAAATTATGATTCAGAGGCTTATGAATGAGTTGTGCAGAAGTAGAACAAGCAGAGTTCTTCAATGTAATCACTCTGAGCCAAACAGCTTGGAATTGGGACAATGCGGTTGAGCCTCATGATACTGAGTTCTATTATTGGAAGAATGGAGCTGTTGTTGATAGCAGTCTTAATTTTTCAAAGGTTCCAGTAGGCTATGAAAGGAAGGATCCAAAGGTTGTCAAAGGAGAACCTGAAGACTGGAATGATGTTGATAATCCAGGGGGATGACACCCTTATCACTACAGACCCAAGTTTACAAGGGACACATTCTTCCTTCTGAGTGGAAGCCTGTTGAAATCCCTGAACACTTCGTTGATCTTGGCAGGGAACCTATTAGGGAGGAGAAAGGAGGATCCATTACCTTGGATAGGACGGTACAGTCCATGACCCTACTAACAATCAGTTTGCAAGGAAGTATGCTAGTAGAGATAACATGTTTCCAGAGGAGAGGATGGGGAAACTGGACATCTTTAAGCTTCAGCAACATGGACTGACAAAAGACAGGACTGAAAATGGGGATGTGTTCTTTTTCTATCAGTTGCTTCTCCCTAATGCTCCAGATTCAAGGGAAGCATAGAGGTATCAAATTGAACCAGAAAAGAAGTGTACATTAAGGTGATGAGATATACTACTCTGTACATCTCTGACACCAATGAAGGGGAAGGACACCAAGTTAAACCTGTTACATTACCTGAAGCAGTTCAGTTTGATGGTATCCTCCTTTTATTGTATAGGGCTGGTGCAGGAGCCAGTGAAAACATCAAGTTTAGATGGGATTCTAAGGATATTTCATTCAATGAGGACATTGCAAACACCATGACTTGTACCATGTGGTACAAATTTAAAAGGAACTTGAAGCTTTGCAAGAATGAAGCCAAAAGGCCTTTTCATGGAGAACCCAACAATGCCAATGTGGCTTAAAAGTTTGATTTCATCCACCAGACTATTGTCAACAATACAAATTATTTCACTGAAAGGGCTGGCTTGGACCTGTGTATTGACAAGACCAGCTGATCATATCAAGGCTTTGGTGGTCCTCTTGTTAACTATCCAAAGGGAAAGATGATAACCAGGGGAGGACAGACTGTTCTTTGTGTCTGACATTGATCAGATCAGATCTGGAGCTTGGAAGCACAGATAATGTGGGTGGAAGAGTAAGGAAGAGGATGGGCAGCATCCTGCATTGGCCCTGTTGAAGTTGACAACATTGTTGAGAACTTTGTTCTTTGTAATATAGGACCTGGGAAGATTTTGAAATAACCTCTTTGTATCACTGCTGACAACTATTTTCTATCATATTCCATCTTGGATTGGATTTGTGAGCAATGGTTGGGTATGACGAGAACAGTTGCTAAGAATAGATTGCCTGCAAAGGCTCCAGGGAAGTACTTTCACAAGAAGAATGCTGCTGGGGATTCAAACAGAAAACATAGAGCCAAGACATCACTTCTTGCAAAGCCTATACTAAGCGCAGTGAAGACAGTTCCAGCTGATCCAAACAAAGGAATGAAAGCCTACAGGAGAGTCCATTGCTCTTGCCTAACAAGCACTGGAGCTTGCAATTTAAGATAAGTGAACTCAAATTCATTCTCATCTCTTTATAACAATCACCAGAAGGAAAGGGGAAGGGGGACAGAGAAGTGGTAGTGGGGAATTAAAACAAATGAGTCTCACAAGCTTTATCTTTATACTTATTGCAAACTAGACCTTATTGATGTGTACATCTCCAGTGCCTACATCTCCAGAGCAAGGATTGGTGACAAATCCTGGATGTACTACCATGCTGCAGTTAATCATGCAAAGGTCTTGGCCATTCTTGTTACTGCATACAATAGCTAGTACAAAGAGAGTACTGATGGGGCCTTGGTGATGAGTGAAAGGTAAGCAATGTAATGAGCTACTGTGAGTTTTGTCAGAGGCTTGCCTTGCAGATGATAAGATACCATCCAGTTGAGCAGGTTGATAACTGTGATGCTAGACTGAGACAATGGAATAAAGCAACTCACAGAATCAGAAGCTGGAGACCAACTAGTAGGAGGAAGGCTTGCAAGAATATCCTTACAAACGGGAAGTTGTTTGCGTACCACAGCTTGCAACTGTATATCTGTGATACTAGCTAGTAGACTGAGGCAATGGACTAAAACAACTCACAGAATCAGAAGCTGGAGAGCAACTAGGAGGAAGGCTTGAAAGACTATCCTTGAGAACAGGGAGTTTCTTCCATTCCACAACTTGCAAACCATTGCAGAGAAAATGACAAATTGAAGATTTTGCTTAACGCAAACTGAAAAATACAAAAAGCATCTTGAGGCAATAGGGTCAATAAAGTCAAGGAGCAAAAAGATTTGTTACATATGTAGTGCCAACAATTACTACAGCATCTGCAAGCTGTGTGAGGTCCCCCTTGTTTGCAGCACCAACCCTCAGTCAAAGAAGAGGGATTCCAACAGAGATCCCACCATCTGCATGTTTTGTCACAGCAACCACCACAATTATGAATGGTTTGGGCTTGGAAGAAGTGACTACTGTTCCAGAGTAAGAAGGAATGACAAGAAAGTACAAGATGGGAGAAACTGAAACCCTCCAAGCAATGAGGAATTGAGAGATAACTCTGAGTATATGAAATTCTAATTGGATATTGAGAATGAGGAAGAGGAGGACAATGCTAGCAGTAGTAGTAGAGGAGACGGCGGCAATATTGTTGTTTCACCAAGCAGTATGGATGCAACCATTGTTAACAGCAAACTAACTCTACCAAGTGCAGATACTAGTACTGCTGAATTAACCTCAGTCACTGGGGGTGGAGTTGTTGGACCAATAGAAGCAGTTGAACAAACAAAATAGTAATTATATAAAATATTGATTGTTCTATTTGGTTGTTGCTGATTTGTTTGCTCATTTTGTTGTTGATATGGTTGCTCATTTGGTTGGTGATACAGTTCTTGCTGACAGGGTTGTTGATTCAGTTTTTGATTTGGTTGCTTATTTGGTTCCTTATTTGGTTCCTTGTTCTCCTCCTTTGTAGCAATTACTAGTACACCACTAGCTTACATCTCCTTGTAGTCCTCTGAATCCCAGGAGAAGCTCGTCTGATCCATATCTTAAGGATGTCCCCACTCATCATACTAGGAAATTTTCTTTGCACACTGGATGGAAGGAGTGAAGTTGTTTTCCCTCTTCATTACTGTCCAGTCGTACATTTTGGGCCCTTATTTTGTGTGTAATGACTAATTTGACTAAAACATACAAAATGCACCATGTGCTCAGTACTACTTGAATTTTTGAATCCCACATTTGTGCAACCAAAATAGTTTTGTGCATATGCAAAATAGTTTTTGTTTTCATGTGCATGCTGTATGCCTAGTACAAGTCAAATTTTTAATCCTACGAGTCACTGCAAGGTACTAATTTAGATGACCCAAAATTGACGCACCGTACAAAATGCACATAGAGAGTTAACTAAGGGTCAACTCACTCTAACAGTTATATCTTTGTCCCAACAGATGCTTAACAATGATAAGCACATGAATTGAATCCCAGTTAAACACAATTCTAGTAAGATTGGGGAGTTGGGGGGTCCTATTAGCAGAAGATATCGATATATGTGTATGAAGTTAGGATTAAAAATGTATGACTGGTTCAGCAGGAATAACTGTGCCAACCCTATACAATAGATCTAAAAGAAACACTTGTGAGTGTCCCCAACCTTCACCTTCTGGTGAGGGAGCAGTGGCTGGTCTTCTTGAAACAGCCAGCACAGGAGGTCTCACTGAGCTCATTGATAGGGATTAGGCTTCCCATTCCATTTCCACTCCTCCTCCTCCTACTTCCAGTCTTGGTTGAGGACAAACAGTACTTGAGGGGAAGGATCATCAATTATTTCTGGTGGTGGGGGCTCAGGAGCATTGGGGGAAGGTGCAGAGGTATCCATTACTAATACCATTTGAATCTTCCACCCAATCATCCCTCCTGGATCTATGCCCTTGGTTAACTCTGCTGCTTCCCTTGCCTTTGTTGCTGGGTGTCATTTCATCTCCATGTTGCCCTTTACAATTGTGAGCTTGTGCTTGGACATCCAGTGCTTGTAAGCACAGGCCTTGGGTCCCCTGCAAACAAGAAGCATCATCATCCTGGTTTGATGCCTTGCCTCCTCCTTCTTTGTTTTTGCTCTCATCCTGTTTAATTTTACCCTCTGCTTTGAGTGGGGACAACCAAACAAGAGTGCTCTTGTGTGTTGTGGGGAAACTGAGTGGGGGGAGCTGTTGGGGTCAGGGGTATTGAGGGACAATAGGTTTTTTGTGTGGTGTGGAGGGGGGGAGAGGGGAAATGGAGATAGGAAAATGACAAAAATTGACAGCCAGGGGGGAATTGCCAAAAACTTGCCAGCATGGGATTTGTACTTCGTAGCTCTAGATAGTCCAGATCGTACCAGCAACAGTTGCGCGCTGTGCTTGCGCGCATTTCGCCCTTTTGCCTTTTGGCCATCGGTCGATGTTTGCAGAATTTTTTGTTTTGTTCAGGTTTCGTTCTTTACGATTCGTACAGTACGAGTTCCGAGTACGATTCCTCGGCATCGTCGTAGTAATGTACGTATGTTACGACATCGTACCGTACTGCATTCCATCCGAGACGAAAAGTGTGAGCGACGATGAGTTTCGATGTCTCTCTCAAAAACAAAAAACACACGTTCAGCCTTAGCCTTGAAAGGACTAGTGCGGTACGAGCGACTTCTCTTGTACTCGTTGTGGTTGAAAGCCCAGTAATTTTGAGATATTGCCGGCAACAGTTGTCAAAGTAGTAAGATAGAGACCTTCAGGAATCCTCCAAAAAAGTCACGAAGACTATAAATAGCGCACAGCAATCAATTTGTCATCTCATTGTGTTTATTTCCATTGACCTGTCCGTAGGACCAGCATTGGTAAAATATACTCTGTCGAAAATCTGCTGTTTTCACGTTGCGACTTTTCAGGATTCTTACGGGCATCTCGTCTGAAGTCTAAGATATTCCATCGTGGGTTCGGCCATATCTAACCTTTCATTTTTAGAGCTGTATTTGATGGGTTCGGTGCAAGTCTTTGAATACTTTCTAGATTTCTGAATTCTTCTCCCATCTAGAAAAAAGAAAACATGGCTCCTATCTTTCCTTCAATCGGAATAACGCCCCAAATAATTGATGACGGAAGACTTCGAGTATTAAAGAGTAGCTTAGAATCGATCATCTTCGATACACCCTTAAGTAGTGCTTTTCAGGGAATCGAAGAGATTCGTGCTCCGTTGGATATCGAGCGCCTCGTCGTGTTATTAGAACCTTGGCAGTCGTGGGGGTTTGAAGAACAGGTAAATCATGTTAGTTGCGCTTGTAGTCGATGCCAATTTCCGTTTGGAAAAATGACTCACATGATCCATGTTTATGTTTGACTTTCGTAGGTTGACCTTCAAGAATGGGTCGAGCCTTTAAACAGAATCGATGCTTCCTTGTCTTTCTATATCCAGAAATATCCGTTTCTCTTACTAATTAGCCCTGTTGAGCGGACTACATCGAAGGGTGCATCGAAGCTTGCCAAATGTATTGTTTCTAAACCAGCGCGTTCAATTGAAGAAGTAAACGGTGTGACTGATTCCGTCCGCAATAATATCTTAGTCATCTTGAAGTTTTTGTCGGGGTTGTTGACAAATTCCTCCAATAAATCTGTTTTCAATTCAGTCGAAGAGTTGGTTGACCTCTTAGCGGCTGCAGATGACAACATTGCATCTGCGTCTCTTGAAACCTTGTGTGCTTTGGCCATGCCACCTTCTTTACACAAGCAGCAAGTTCCTGAGATTCAACAGCACTCTTCCGCCTTGCACATTTCGAAAACTACATCACATAAACGGCTTACAGCTCTAGCTAGGGGTTGGGGTACACGTGGATCAGGCTTAGGATTATATGCCTGTGCTGTGTCCGACGACTCGGTGTTTGGTCAAGGATCTCTTCCACAGCAAGCGGGCGAACTCAATTTTTCCTTTTTTAGAGATAAAGCGTATGAAGAAAATAGAAAGGGTGAGAATGAAGAGGAATCCTCTCTAGTTCACGTAAATCTACCCGCGAACAGTTTTACAGAAGATTCAGAGATGATGTTCGAGGCCACATTGAAAAACAGCGACGAAAGTGATGATTCCACAGGAAGTAAACAAAAACGAAGAAGAGTTGCTCTCCCTATGAAAGTTGACAGAACTATCCGATCTACTGCTGACTTATTCTTTCAGTGTCTTCGACAGGCCGGTGGAGTAGAAAGAATACCAGCCGATCGACTCTTCCCACTGCTAGCGGATATTCGCCTAACAAGATCGTTTCATTGCCAGGCATCAAGAGTTGCTGCAATCGAACGACGGCTTCGCGCACTCATTACAATTCTTCACGCGAATCCATCTCAAGAGGTAATGTCTGGGTACTTTCAAGCGCAACCAGAACTTTGTGTCGAGCTCGTAGATCTTCTCCGTCCGACTGTTTCTTCTGGAGCAGTTTCAGCATCATCAGCCGCACCAAAATCCAGTAAAATTCCTAGACAAAACCGGGATCATATTGTGACCCTTTCGAATTCTCCCATTGTTCCATACCAGATTCGTGAATTGGCTCTTCAATCATTGACAGCGTTAGCTGCTCGGAGGGAGGGGGGAAATGGATCTCTGACAGGATTTGCGCGCCATTCGAATATTCTAACCGAGCTTGGAGTTGGGAAGGGACAGTATCTAGGCCTTCTTCCAACTTTGATACGATATTCACTCGCATCTCTAGGATCTCTAGTTTCTACTCCCTCTTGCCGTGACATTGAATCAAATGAGACCATGGCGTCTTCGATCGAGAAGAGTAAAGTTGATGCTACGGCCATGGATATTGGCTTGGCATTCATAGAAGCTACTTCTACTCCTACTGTCCCGAGGTTCGAACAACTGGAAAAGGCACTTCTGTTCATGGATTCTGTGCTCACCTTAACATCGGCCATTGTGTCGACACCATCTGGGACTTCATCGCTAACTGAATGCGGTCTAGTACCCGCACTACTGAATACAGTATCGATTGATGCAGAAGTGGCCAGTATGAAGATTATGCCAGATTCGTCATCAGAATCGGAAATATTCAGGATACAGTCGCTGTTAAGATTTATTACAGCTCAAGCTGTTCAAATACTCGAAGGCGCTATTGTCACCCACAGCAATGCTCTCTCCGCATTTCACAACCTTAAGGGGGTGGAGGTGCTTACCGCACGGCTGTCGAAGGAAGTTTTGGGTGCACGCGAAAAAAGTACCAAGAACGGTTCAGACAACGATTGCACAACGATGGAGATAGACAAAGCTGATTCAGCTTCTATTGGTGGTGTTGAATTGCGGGCTTCCCAAAGAGTAGTACTGTTTGGTGTCGTGACTTGTTTGACCGTAGTATTTCATCAGGAATCTACATCTTCATCTGTTGCGACACCTTCTGGTACAGCGGAAATACAGAAACCTGAACTAACCAAGGCTTTGATTGAGATCTTAGATAATGTTGACTTATATGGTGGTCACCTCGCCTCTCTTATTTCGACACTTTTGTCGGATGTGATGAATAGTGATCCTCATGTTGTGAAGTATGTCCATGAAAATGGCCTAGCGCGCTCGTTCCTGAAGATGCTGGATGTCGGGCCTTCTGGTGTACCCATTCCACCGCCAGTCCCCGAACTGATCATGTCTATACCAACAGTCTTGGCTGCACTAGCTTTGACGGAAGCAGGCGCAAAAAAGCTGGAGGAGAACAATCCTTTTCCTGGGCTACTGAGGCTTTTCCATCATCCAAAATATGCCATGCCAAGGAGTCGATGCTTACTAAATGAAATGACATCAATAGTAGGAACGGGCTTGGATGAAATAATGCGCCATGTTCCATCATTGAGTAAATCTATCTGTAAGGCAATTGCTAATGCGATGATGGATGTTGTAGCGTTCGGGGATCAAGTTGCGCTGAAGGAGCATAATGAGACCGCTGCAGATACTCAATGTCCTCAAGCATTGGATGTAGATCATGAGCGAACCTGCCTCGTACAATATGGTCTGAACTTTGGACAAATTCTTGAGCAAATTCTTCACAACGAGGAGCACTGTGGACCTTTCCTAGAATCAGGAGGGCTGGATGCTATTCTCAAGATGTATCCTTATCTGATGCCAACGTCTGATAGATTTCTTGCTCACATAAGTTGCCTAAGCTGCCCGTCACTGAGCACAATTACACATTCCTCAACCGAAGAAACTTTGACGTTAGCTTTCAAATGTATCGCACTGAGATGTGATCCGTCGAAAATTATTCGAAAAACTTTGGGAGTTACGAAAGAAAACTTGAACATACTGAAAGCCACGCAATGCGAAATGAAATCAGCTTTTCCATCAGAAAATCACCACAAGGAAAACGATTTTGATGCCTCATTTATTCTCAATGGCTTACCTTGTCTTTCCATATACGATATAACAGATCCCTCATTCAACTATAAGAAAAAGCTTCTAGCGAGGTATCTTAGAGCCGCTGTGACAATACAGTGGTTATCAGGGCTGCTTTCGGCAGTTATTCAGGCATCTTGTCAACGCAATGCAGATGCTGGTCTTTCCCCCTGGAATCGAAGCGAGCGTGAGTGGATAAAGGAATTTTCTTCCCCTGATTTCAAAGAGGTTTTCGACTGTTTGACAAGTTATTTTCAGTCCGCCATACTAGAAGTGTGTAGGATACGTTCAGAAGATAGTTTTGAAGAACGAGAGCTAAAGAGGCAAAGGGGGAATGGGTCTGATCACGTGCGATATAAACTGAGGATAGTTTGTGCGGAAGGAGCGGTCGTCCGTGATGGGATCGAAATCGATAGTTGCGCAAGCGTTGGTAGCATGGAAATGGGTGAAATTGTCGAATCATTTGATCGCTGTGTAAACTCATCAGGCGTTTTGCGATATAGAACACGAAGAGGTTGGCTATCAGAACAGACGCGAGGCCATGGAAGAGAACCTATTGCTGAAGTACTATCCGTGTGGAAGTCTCAAATTGATGACAATGATGAAAAGGCAGAGAGAAACGTTAAGGGGCGCATCGAGGATGGTATTCCTGATATTCGTAGCAGTGGGGCTAATGTTTTGGCTAGAATTCAACCTGTATACGTCGAACTTTATTCATCTCTTCTTCGATTGGTGCAGCAGAGTTTGCCTCGTCTCTTTTCGGGAAAAGGAACCAGTTCTATGGTCACCGATCTCATGAAGATGCTAGGCTCAGGAATTAAGAAAGGTTTCGAAAAAAGTGAGGTTTTATGCGCAATACGACAATCACCGGAATCTACGTGCACTATCAACAAATTTGGCATTGCTCTCTATCTTGGATCGTTACTTAGCCATCTACAAACTTGTGTTTTTGAAGAGAAAAAAGAGAGACAGACTGTAAATATGCCACTGCTAATCCTTGTGGCGAATGAGCACCTTGATACAACGGGCCAGCTGTGCCATGATTCAGAGACAACAAAAATCAATTTTTTTGATGCAATAAAATTTATTTTCGAGCTCTGTCTCTCTGATTTTCAATCAAGAGCTTCCAAAATGAGTACTGGCGAGGCTAACAAAGAAAGCCCAAGGCAAAGCTTGGATAGAACAACTGCATCATTTCTCCCTCCAGCAATTGCTCTACTTCGTCGGCTGATATCGAGCCCACTATGTACATCGTCTCAGACAATCGAAGCTCTCGAAAGATTGAAAGAAAGTGCGTTATTTGTTATCATAGGAGCGGAAGACCAAGTCCGATACTCTTCTGACGATGACAAAAATAAAAACTTTTCGTCGCAAGATTTTTTTCAGAGGCTATTATGCAAAACCTCTGATATTATAATAAGACCATGGAGTGATTCAAGATTTGTTCATGCACCGCCGCATGTCGTGCATCCGTTTACGACTTTGGTATCAGAAACGATTGTCGCTCTCGAAGACTCAACAATAAGAGCGCCATCCAATTCTACATCTGCGAGTCAAGAGGAGAACTTGCCAGATGCTTACAGAGATACAATAGCACGTTTTAGAAGAGCTCGTTCAAATGTTGAACAATTTACAGCAGCGATGAATGGTGCACTCGGGAGAGATAATTTTGAACCAAGCGAGGAAGTAATATCACGCATGATGGAAATGGGCTTTAGTCGGGATCATGCTTGGGATGCCATTGATAGAACAAGATCCAATACGATACAGGTCGCAATGGAATATGCTCTTTCTCATCCACCTGCAAGTGCCGAAGATATCGCGCGGAGAAGATCAGACCGAGAGAGAAGGCATCGTCAGCGTGATGAACAGGGAGGAGAATCGATGCAAGGGACTTCTGAGGCAGGTGAAGGAAGTCAACCTAATTCAGGAGTCAAACAGGCAGATTCTAATATTGGAGCCATGGAAATCGACCATGTCGAGTCTAAAGGTGGCGAAAAATCTGATACTGAAGTTTTGGTTGATATGGTTGCATCACGTATCAAGTCGTGGAAGGCAGAAAGCACTAGGGTTGTTTATAATTTCTTATCAGAAAGAAAATCAGATGTCGATAGGAACACAGTGGGTGATGGGGAGAGGGAAGCTACAACAACTGTCTTATCTTCGTTTTTGCTTGATGTTTGCCAACGATATCCTGGCGATAGAGATCAGATTGCCGAGAACTTATTTCGTTGTCTCAAGAAACAATTAGAAGAAAAGAAAGACAGAGAAAACGTCTATTGGAACGTGCTATCTGGACATGAATCAAGTATGGCTTCTTTTTGTCATTGTGCAGTTCTTTTTATCCGCGCTTTACCAAAGACAAGACCGCTTGTGCTGAGAGCAGGCCTCGTCGGCCCAATCATATCTGTCATCTCTACCTACCTACAACAACCAAGATTGAAGGAGCAGGCAATACAAAACAGATGGCCATCATGGTTGCCTTCTGCGCTTCTCATGCTTGACATCATGGCCCAACCTATTGTAGCTTTCGCAACGAAAAATAGCTCAGGCGATGCCATAGAGTCTGAACAATCAGGTGACGACAAGGAGTTTCATGAGGTGAAGAAGGATCACGAAAAACAGACACGTGATCTCTCCGCTTTAGCTCATCGTCTTTTTTCGGCGTTGAATGATCAGATTCAAACCGATGATAATAATTTGAAAACCAGAACAGCTGATACATCAAAAAGCAAGCTTGGTTCACAAGGGGAAGAGATGATATCAACGACGAGCAACGGTGAAGAATCGACATCCAAGTTGGTGGGGAACGGGACACTTTTCGAATCTGTTCCCGCTTATTTTCCGCTGATTCCATCTCAACTTGCTGAGACTTGTGCGAATATTTGCCTCACTATCATTGGAGATGACTCTGCATCTCCCCCTCCTGGGATCATCCACGCGACGCTCCTTTTGCTGATGAGATTATTGCGAAGTTCGAAAATGTCGACATACTGCTTGAAAGCAGGAGCTGGGCCAAAAATACTGAATCTTGGCCGTCGATGCCGCTTCAACGGTCATTCTGGCCTGGTCGAATTTATTTTCCGAAGACTACTAGAAGACGAAATCAATCTTCAATCTTCGATGGAAACTGAGATAAGAAATTGTATCTTGAAGTTGGACTCAAAAAAGGATGACAAAGTTCCGGGCAACAAAGATGTAATAAGTGTTCCACGGAAAGCTTTTGTGAAGGCAATAACACCTATCCTTTGTCGCGATCCAGCTTGTTTTGTGAAGGCAATGGCAGTATCTATAGTTTTTGAAAAATCTAATTCCAACTCGGATGGACGTGTTGTGCTGGTCACATCTACCCAAAGATCAAAAAATTTAGAAATTGTTTCAGAGACACTGAATTTGAAGCAAACTCACGTGCTAAACTCAAGAGTATCGATGAGCAGGAGATCGAGTTCAAGCAAAACAAAAAGGCTGTCGAATGCTTCATCAGGAACTAGAAGTAAGACGCCTACTCGTTCAGGCAAGCGAAGTCAAACGACTAAGCGAAGTAAAAAGGAAAAAGCAGAATCAAAAGATAGTATCAGTGACGATAATCCCAGACGTCCGACTTCCCACACCTCTCCAATCCAACACATCACTGGACTTCTACTCAACCAAGTAGTCCAAATAGGTGTGGAAAAAATATGCGGCGAAAGCGAGTCGAAGGAGCTACAGCGTGATGCTTTCGACTTTGGATACGAAACATCCTTCCTTTGGACAGCTAATATATTGGAAATTCTTGCTGACTTAGTTCTTGCGATACCTGCTTGTGCGACTGCAATTCACAAGTTCAAGCCGTCTCGGAGGAATCGAGATTCAGCCTTCGCTACTTTAAACAATGCTCTCCATGGATGCCCAAGTCCCCCACGTACGTTCGTTAGCTTCTTGCTCCATGGACTTCTATCACAGGATCGCTGGAATCAAAAATCAAGAAGACAGGACAATGAAGCGAGCTTAGACGTGGAATGCGCTTCAGAAAAGCAAAGAAAGAAGATGGGGTTTCTGCGAACCAAAGTAGTTCGATCAACAGCTCGACTTCTTGTGGCATTGGTAGCACGCCCCGGCGAAGGACGACGCAGGGTTATTGTGGAGCTAGTATTTGCACTGAGTGGAGGGCAGCTTGGCCTATCTTCTGCTTCTTCATTTCGTCCTGCCAAATCGTGCCTACATCCTCATCTAAGTGAATTACACGCACTTCAAAGTTGGGGCGAACTATGTATCGGTTTCGCTGCCCCCAAAAGCAACGGAAATAATTATGATTCTAATAACTCATTGAGTTCCGAGGTCATAAAGATAATGCTTGAAAACGGCATGGCTCACGCTCTGTTGGTGGCAGTTCACAGAGTTCCGCTGTATCATCCGATGGCATCAAATGCTCTTGGTGTCCTCATTCTCCCATTTGAAATTATGACTAGGGCTAGTGTGGCCAACTCTGTGAAGTCTATCGTCGAGAAAGAGGCGAGGATTCGTGAGGATAAGGAAAGTGCGAAATCGAATAGACAGGCTATGTCGAAAGAAAAGAACTCTGATCTCAGCCATCGCCGCGATTCTTTTGTCGCTGATGACCACATGCTCGAAGACGCCTTTGCAGCAGAAATACCACGTGGACAGGGATCTCCGGATGAATCATTCGATGACGAAATAGTAGTTGATGGCGAGGTCATGGTTGATGGTGACGACGACGACGACGATGACGGCATGGATGTTGACAACGAGAATTACTATTTGAGTGATGATGAAATGTCTAGTGACAGTAATTCTGATGGCTCCAGTGACGTAGAAGATTCTGACGAAGGTGACTCCGATGACGAGGAATCTGATGATTCTGATGACGATTCTGATGACGACTCTGATGAAGAGTCAATTCTAGATGATATGGCTGAATCAGAAGATGTTTATAGCAGAGGTGAATTTGAAGATGATGCCTTCAACCTTGACTCTAGAGTAGATCAATTAGTGGAAGACGAAAACGAATTCGAAGCAGTGAACGAGGGTGGAAGAGATCATGACATAGAAGAAGGATGGACACGAATTGAGTCTAATGGCATTAATGGAATGGTTCTTGGTAGTAGAAGAGCCACAGGACAGCATTTGAGTGGACCTGGAACTGGGAGAGGAAATAGAGGCTTCATGGATGCAGCAGAAGCTATGATTGGAACCCTTCTCCGTACAGGAGAAATTCGCAGTGAAGCTCTAGCGGAAATCGAGGGTACGTTGGGTATTCAGATTATGCCATCAGGTGAAAGGAACCGCAGAGTTGCATCAGGACGTCGTCCAATAAATAGTGGTGCGTTTGGAAATTTTATTTCAAGGCAGGGTAGAACGGAAGGGAATAGATCTAGCACTTTGTCGAGAGAATTGGTGGGTACAATTCCTCTAATCAGCCAAAGAAATCAGCCTGATTTTGGATATTCATCAATGGGAAGGGGGACTCGATGGAATGACGTAAATTCCATGGAGTATGTGTATGGTGGGCCCTGTATTACGGCTGGCAACAGGCATTACGACCTGATTTCCCCCCTTGTGGAACCGAATGAGAACGATTTTTTTTCAAGTTCATCAGGACTCATTGATGCACAGCTCTTCCCCGAAGGACCTGCCGCAGCTACACATGCAAGAACTCGACATTGTACTCATCCTCTTCTCGGCGACGTTATTTTACCACCAGTAAACGCTATTGTATCAGATCTGGAGTCGCATGATATTGTAGCCAGAAGAATGATTCAACCAACCGCTCGAAGGTTGGAAGAATGGACAAGTCCCAGCTTCAGTTCCGGTCGATTCTTTGTATCAAATTCAAATGGAGCAATTGTCCGTTCGAACCGAACTGTGGGCAATCATCGTCATAGATCGATGGAAGGACGTTCGTCTCTGTCTGGATGGACTGATCACGACGGGTTACCTTTTGATGCAAGTGTTGAAGAGTTTCGCTCTGCTTTCGAAAACGCACTTGGAGAAACATTTCCAGCTTCTTCTTTTACAAATAGCGCAGAACCAGCTGTCGCTAGCAACCAAGAAAATAGCAATTCCGAACGAAATGGAGAGCCAGCAGGAAACATACATACTGAAAATGATTCTAACTCTCCAACTCAAGAAGATGTTGCGATGACAGAAGAAACACCGAATCAAGCAGGTCCGTTGAGTGGAAACCAAAATGAACATGAAGAACACGACGGTGATGGCGTGGCATCATCGCTGGCTGTTGGTTTACGCCTCTCACCCCCAATAAATCCTGCTTCGGAGCAACAGATTTCAAGTTCAAACAACAACCAAGCTGGCAATACTTCCGTTGCTAGTGGAGGAGAGCAAGATAATGAGAACGAGGTTTCTGGTGAGGCCGTGGGCCAAGAAACCGAACCCGTTAGTGCGCAAGAGACTGTAACTGGCAGCGGCGATCGAGAACCAAATCAAAGTGGACTTGTTTGCCCATCGGGAATGGATCCAGAAGTATTTGACGCACTCCCAATCGAAATGCAGCAAGAAGTTATCAATCAAGCGCGAGAAACTTCGGCTTTGGCTGATCAGCTTGATGCTGGTTCTTCGCTGGATCCCGAGGTTCTTGCAGCATTGCCAGAGGATATGAGACGTGAAGCCATTGAACAAGAACAGCAAGAACGCCGTCTTAGAGATCAAGCACCTGCAGATCCATCTAATGCTGCAGAGATGGATAACGCAAGCTTCATCGCTTCGCTGGCGCCTGAGCTCCGAAATGATATCCTTCTGACTGCTGACGAAAGTGTTATCCAAAGTCTCCCTCCAAATATTATCGCTGAAGCTCAAGTTTTAAGAGAGCGGCGTGCACGGGCTGAAGCTCAAGCACATCGTAGAAACTTCGCCGAAAATTCTACTCAAGGCAATCAACGTACGAGTACAAACGCAAACAATGTAGTAGTGAGAAGTAACATACAAAGTGGACAGGGTAGAGATCAGGTGTCTTCAAGACGAAAACAGCGCACTGGCAAAATTCGAGTCGACTCTGATAGGAAGGAGATTGCATTCATTCCTACAAGAGGACATGTATCTTCAACTATTATTGCAAAATCTGACTTGAAAGCTCTTATTCGCTTTCTATATCTTCTTTCCCCTATCCGGCCACATCGAATCCTGCAGAAGGTTTTCCAAAATATTGCCACGAACTGTAACCTTCGATTGATTTTGTCTTCCACCTTTTTGAATTTATTGAATGACAAAAAATCCGGGGCGTTATATGCGTTAAATACTACAAATTCTCTGTACTCAGGTGCTGAGGATTGGAGGGAGAAGATAGATGGTCTTTTCGAAGGATCTCTTCAAGATTTCCCTCCGGCGTTGTTGATTGGAGCAGCACCAGAGGTGTTAGAAAATGATGGATTGAATCCAAATATTGTGTTGATTCGACGAAAGCAAACCAGTGACACTGCGGCATCGATTGCTGCAAACCTACCAATCTCCTCTCGGGGCTCGCAGCATGAGCATTTTCTGCCGCCTGTGGTTTCAACACGAATGCTAGACACACTTTTGCAAATGTGCAAAAATTCACTGCGCTTTTGTCTCGATTTACTTGTGAAAAGAATGATCGTAGGTGTTGAATCTGAGAGTAGTCAGCCTCCCACAGGATTTGAGAGTCTGTTGGATCTTCTGGAAAAACCAAGATACTCAAAGAGCTCAACCAACTTGGAGCAATTGCTGAACTTATTAGAACTTGTTGTATCTCCGTTATCCCATATTCCAAGGCTTGGCGAGGAAAGTGTCGACGTTTCTCAGAAAGATATCGACGAAGCTTCATCACAAGGGAAGGAATGGGTTCATGTTCCACGAGTAGTGGTTTCACAACATAGACTTCAGCTCCTGTGCTCTATTTTACGGATGGAAACATGCAAGGATACCTCTTTTGCAAAGGTCAACACTATTGCACGGAGACTTTGCCGTGTTGATGATAACMGGGGTTACGTTTTGACTGAGCTCGCTTCAGTTGCCCGTGCACTTGGCGTTGATGCTACTCGCGATCTCACAGCCCTGAATATTAGAATATGTGCTACCATCGATGAGAACGAAAATCGTCTGTCGAAGACGGCAAGCCTTGGTCCAGATAATCCGTCAATGGGGAAAGGGGCGTCAACTTCTGTAGCTGTTTCAACCAGCACAAGTGAATTGAAACTGCTCAGGGTTTTGCAAACCCTCCAATCATTATGCACAGAAACGTCTGATGATGGGCCTATGAAAAAAAATGAGGGTGTTGTTGTCACAGAAGAACTCGTCCAGTTGCTTGATGCCATGAATTTGGATAAGTTGTGGTCAGAGTTGACATCATGTTTGAAAGTGGTTCAAGTTTTGGAGGGTGTGAACATCGAGGAGGATGCAAACAAAGAAGCAGACGGAAATAATACGGATGAGTTTGGTGATGAGATAGAAATGGGAGCAAAAAAGAAGCTTGAGAATAGCGTTGCTGGATTGCTGACACGATTCCTACCGTCAATTGAAGCATTCTTCGTTGCCAATGGGTGTTTCACAAGGGTTACCAAAGACATCAGAAATAACACGCAAAGTGAAGGCACAACGACTGATAGGCGTTCCACGCAATTGGTTGGTGGGAAGAAGTTATTTGACTTCGTCGAAGCAAACAAAGTACTGCTCAACGCACTTGTCAGAAATAATTCTAGTCTTCTCGAAAAAGGCTTCAAGGCGCTGATTTACCTTCCTCGATGCAGGATGTTGCTAGATTTCGACGTGAAGCGACATTGGTTTAAGCTACACGTTAGGCGACTCCGACAGCAAGCAAATCGTCGTTATGGTAGTATCCGTCTGCATATTCGTCGCGACTACGTTTTTGAAGATGCCTATCTCCAATTATCTCCAAGAAACTCTGAAGAAATGCGAGGGAGGTTGCATATTACATTCCGAAACGAACAAGGTGTTGATGCAGGTGGGCTTTCTCGTGAATTTTATGGAATATTGGCGAAAGAAATCTTCAACCCAAATTATGCTCTTTTTACATCAACTGAAGATGGATGCACGTTCCAGCCGAATCCAAATAGTAGCGTCAACCCTGATCATTTGAGCTACTTCCGATTTGTAGGACGCATTGTTGGAAAAGCTGTAGCTGATGGGTATTTGCTTGATTCACACTTTACGAGGAGTCTCTACAAGCATATGCTCGGAAAAGAGCCAACGCATCATGACATGGAGGCGATTGATCCAGACTACTACAAGAATCTGAAAACAATTTTGGAGTATAATCTTGGCGATCTTTGCTTAGATTTGACCTTTTCAGTGGAAGACCATTCTTTTGGAAGAAATCACGTCGTTGATCTTATTCCGAATGGTCGAAATATTCCTGTAACCGAAGAGAACAAAGCGAAATACGTCAGTCTTGTTTGTAAGAATCGAATGACTACGGCTATTTCAAGTCAGATCAAATCGTTCCTGGATGGATTCCACGAGCTTGTTAGCAAAGATCTCATTCAAATATTTACTCCGAAGGAACTTGAATTGCTGATATCCGGTCTTCCTGATATAGATATACATGATTTGAAGAAAAATACTGACTATAACGGGTGGAAAGCAACGGATAGGCAGATTGAATGGTTTTGGAATGTTCTGTTCTCGTTATCCAGGAACGAGAAGGCTTCCTTTTTACAATTTGTGACAGGAAGCTCCAAGGTACCACTTGCAGGGTTTGGCGAGCTCCCTGGAATGCGCGGTGTGCAAAAGTTCAGTATTCACAAAACTGGAGGGAGTGCTGGCTCACTCATGTCTGCCCATACGTGCTTCAATTCCCTCGACCTTCCGGTATACAAAAGTGAGCAAGAGCTGCGTGAAAAATTAATTTACGCAATAAACGAAGGTGCTGTAGGGTTTCTCATGGCATAGTGACTTTTAGTTCACATTAATGAAAGTATTGAAAGCACTACGTTGCATAAAACACAGCAGTTTTCGATCCACAGCTCATGAAACTCGCACCGCCAAAAGTTCCAACCAGTGACTATTGCTCGAGACAGCTTCTCTAGTTTGAAAAAGACGTTATCAATTTCTTGCTGTAAACGATCGAAGTAAAATCTAATTATATTTAAGTATAGTAAAGTTTAATTCGGACAATCATCGCCTGCGTATTATGAAGTTAGTTTGGAAGTATCATAAAAAATCTTCAGGAGGATTTGGCGTTTAGTAATAAAAAATTGTATTTTATGTCACAGGTATCTAGCTATCCTTCGTTTTGCTTCCCTATTTTTCAACAGCTCCAAACTCTGTCTTCAAGATTTCTACCAAAGCAGGTAGAAGGTCTGCTTCATCAAGGGGAATCCCACTTTTTACTGGTTCCATAGCCAAATGGGCGTCTTCACCGATGCGACCTCCAACAAAAATTTTGCAACCTGGGACTGCCATCTTTTTCCCATCGACTTCCTTTCTTGCTGGACCTCCCATAATACCGATATCAGCTGCTTGGACTTGTCCACACGAATTCGGACAGCCTGTCCAGTGGATTCGAATTGGACGATCTACTGTGACCAATGACTCCAATTTCTTCGAGATGTCTTCGGCGTGTTGCTTCGTTTCAATCAAAGCTAGGCCGCAGAATTCTGCACCTGTGCAACTAACAACATTACCTTCGATGAAACCAGGGTTCACCTTGAAACGACTGTCACCATTAAAGCATGCTTCTTTCTTGAATTCTTCCACGTCGGACTCATCGATGTTTGGGAAAATAACATTTTGTTCAACAGTAAGACGAACTTCACCATCCGAATACTTTTCGGCAACGTCCGCCAGTTGGCGACATTCTTCAGGATTGAGTCTACCTGTTGGAACTAGTACTCCAATACGAACCTTTCCATCTTGTTTTTGAGGGTGCACACCAAGGAGCTCACGGCGTTCAAATTTATCTGTGGGTCTTGGTTGCTGATCCAAAATCTCAACACCTCTGTCGTAGCTTTCGACTTCTGCGATAATGGCTTTCTTGAAATCTTCCGGTCCATATTTTTCTACCAACCACATGAGTCGGGCCTGCTGTCTGTTCTTTCGTTCTGATTCATCACGGAAAATTCGAAGAATTGCTTCGGCAAACGTAACTACAGAGTTTCGATCGGCCTTGATCCACATGTTTGAGTCAATCGATTCCGCGACACGTTTGATTGACATGTAACCACCGAGGACAACGTTGAATCCCATCTCACCAGTCTCGGCATGGGGGCAAGGCCTGAATGTGTCGAACAAAAATTGTATAAGAAATTGATGTAGGCTCTTTGTCCACATCCTCACAACAGAAAACATGAAGACAGTTTACGCAAGTAGAAAAAACACTATACGATATTTGTTACTCACTGAAGTCCCAAATCATTGATGTGCGTGTGGGCAAAATCATCCCGACTTCCACTGATGGCAATGTTGAATTTTCGAGGAAGGTTGGCCCACATGGGATTTCCTCGGGTGTTTGTCACTGGATCGAGACTCACTAAATCGTTGAGGGCATTGCAAAGTTCCCGAGTGTCAACCATTTCTTGATCGTCAATTCCGGCCAATGGACTGCCCACCATATTTCTGACACTGTCCAAAGCGGACTGGAAGGATGTTTGGTTTCGAGCGTGAAGTCCGTCGATGATATCAGGTGCGTCTTCGATTTTTACTCCACGGAGCTGGATGTTGGCACGGGTCGTAATGTCAACGACACCGCCATCTCCGTATTTCTCAACGCTCTTGGCGTAAAATCTTAAAAGATCGGAATTGACAATGCCATTCGGGACCTTCAGACGCATCATAAATTGCCCAGGGGTACGCTTGTTTCGGTGAAGCATACCGACGTATTTCACCCGCTATATGATGCGAATAGAAATATGACGAAGAAAATCCAAGGTGGAACGGAACGTATTTGTGAGCTTTTCTTCTCTTTGTTTCGCGTCTAAAATAAAAGAAAATCGCAGAAAAAAATTTTTACACGTCATCGCCATGCAACTATACAAGGCGACTGCATTCGATGCGATCCATTTCCTCCATTTATCTTCGACAACTCCAATGCCTTACTCACAGTGTCAAGATCAGCCTTTTCTACATCTTCCCATGTCATTTCTCCCTCACGGATTTTTCGTGCATACTCATAGATGTCAACCCAAGCGTTGATGGGATCTTTTGCTAACTTTACTTTCTCAGTGGGATTACCCTTTTCGCAACGTGCGACGGTATCCTCCGGGAGAAACGAAGTACCAGTTGGTTTGTCGACGATGATGGGACCCTTGGTAATTGTCTCCTCGGCGGTGCTGAAGATCTTTGTCGAAAGTGATTGCTTCAAACTGGACGGTGCGAAAGCCGATGCCGACGAAAAGAAAATGGTCGCCGCAACAGCAGCAACTGAGAACTTCATGGTGATGTTGGATTTTCTACTGCTGTAGTTTTAAATGGTGGGAATCGCTGGCAATTGGCCAAGATGATTGCAGCTGCTTAAAGAAAGGCCAGAGTAGTGCTGAAGAATTGTGTACCAGAGGCTGAAAAGTAGTGGAAGCAAAATGGGAACACGGTGATCACGTCACCGACACGTTTCTGAAAAGAAGATAAGAAGTGGGGGCCAAGGTGAGTTTGAGGATTGTTCGTGAAACAAAGAAAGTGTGAGTCGTGAAAAAGTGCCGGCTTTGGGACAGCCACGTAAACACGGAAAGCGAAAACTACCGGAACAAACGGAACATTTCCTTCATTTTTTTACGCTTTTTTTCATCGTAACACTCATAAGACCTACCCTCCTTGACGCAAATTACCGTGCGAGCACGGTAATCAGCATACTACCGGGTACGTATGGTACTGTATTGATGACATGGTTTCTTTCGCGAACCTGCTTCTTACGCCGCAATTGAAGAAAATTCGGATTTAGAAGTACAGTAAAGTACTGTACGTACGTACTACAAAAGAGTTCGAAGCACAGGGACGTTGCGAAACGACGCATTATGGGTTACATGAAGCTACTGTACCCAAGACTACTCCGACTAAGAAAATATGCTCATCTCCTACTTAGTATACCAGTACAAAATGGCACGTGCCCACCACTACCTTTACAACTAAAGAAAGCAATTGTACTATTGCCTACCAGAAATCGACTTTTAAGCTACTTTAAAGTCGCTATAAAGTTACTTTTAAGCTACTTTAAAGCAACTTTTAAGCAACTTTATTTTTACCTAAATTAAAAGATTTGATTCCCGTACGGTACTAGATCCCCCTCCAGCATATGCTCAGGTCGCCATATATCAGTAGGCACATGACTCAGTAGCTGAGCTGTAGGTCCAGTAGCTTGAAGTTTCTGCTTATGAGTTGTTTCGGAGCATCCCAGGAACGTATTCCACAATACTATTACTAGTACCATCCTGTAGATTATGTTGGAAATAGGAAATAGAGAATACAGAAAACAAAGACTTAATGATCCCAATACCAACAAATTGCCATCAATGTGCTTTTGCAGCACCCTTCCTCACTTCCTACAACAATTGAAGGCCTGTTGCTACACAGAGCATTCAAACAAATTTTACTCACTAGTAATATTACTAGCTAGTATTCCAAATCTTATCAACACTGCTGAAGGCCTACTAGTAGTACTGTTACCAGTAGTACTACTAGTAGCTACTAGTACAGTACATAGTACTAGGAATAAGCACTACTTCTTGAATTTAATGGCAATTCTGCCTGAATTAAATATTCCTCAAAATTCTGAGAGCAACAACAACAAAGACTAGAAGACTACTAGTGCAGTACTACTAGATAGTAAGAACTGTTCTCTTATCAGGATGGTGTTTGCAGCACCACACTACTAGTAGTAGTAGTACTAGTAGTAGCACCAAATTGAAGCATGGGAATATTCTTACTACTAGTAGCTAGGATCCACATTACTATGCAACAGTGTTTGCTCAGTTAAGAATGAAAATGGCATTCCGACTCCTTCTTCAATAGTAGGAATTGCAATAATTTGGTCAAAATTAGTATTATTTAAATGCATAAACATTGAAACTACTATGAGATCAACTTTCATTGGGATATTCAGCATTTCAGTTGCAAAAATTAGAAACTACTTCATCTTGGTGATGTACTTGTTCTTATTTCTTAGTACCTCCTTCTTCTTGTTGTTTAAACTTTCAGAGGTAGTAAATGGGAACACCAAAAATTCATTTCCTACTGAAAATATTGTAATATTCAGAATCATGGAAGTCCAAACATTAAAAAAGACTAAAATAGTTTTGCACGAGATTACGTGTACTCTTAGTAGGTGTTAAGTGTGTATGAAAATTGAATTATAAGATTAGATATAAGATTAAGATTCTCGCGCTCGGACTTGAGCTTTCAGTAGATCTGATTAGAYCCTGTGWAGCTCTCGGTACTAAATCTACACAGAGTTCTKATTATTCTGATCTACTGACATCTTTGTTCCGTGCGAGGTATTCTATTTCTGATATCGTAGACCTCTTACGATCCTCGGACCTCTTACGTGTTMAGTGTTCGGTCCTCTTATGATGCATAGATATGAATCGTACCTTACGATAGATACGTAGGAATGGTATGATCCTTCATTCCTTTCTTCGGAGCTTCGTATCGTACGTATATTTCCTTTCAATACGTACGTATCCATTGCATTGTCCCGGACAGTAATATTGCTCATATATTACTGCAATATTACTCACTACTAAACTGTAGCAATCATATCTTCAATATTTTCAGYYGGKGGCTCTTCTTCTGCAATAGTTTCAGGAGCTCCCTTATACGGTACAAGCTTCCGAATGTTTACCGTCTCTCGTACATTGTCGCTCCTTTGTAACACTACAGTTCCATTAGTGTTAATCTCCACGATGGGGTAAGGGCCATGTAATCTTTGAGACAGCTTGTCTGGTTCATAG